CCCCACACCAATCCCTCGCTGCTTCTTCCGGGTGTTCCTGCACGGCACAGGGTCTGGCAGGCCAGCTGCTTCCCTTGAAGCCATGCCCAACTCCTCCTCAGCCTGGAGGGCACTAAACCTAAACCTTCAGGAGGAGTAAGAGCCTTTCTGCTCCTATGAGAAGTGACTAGTTTCCATCCTCCTTCAGCAGTGTTATGATGTACCGTTCCACACGGCACAGGGCTCTTCAGCAAATCTACTGCTATGGGGGGTTAGGAGCCCTAGAGCTGCAGGATCTCCGAAAATACTCTGTCTATCTCTTGCTCATCTTCTCGGATGCTACACAGCCTACTGACTCCTTCCCGTAACTCCTTTACCTGGTGACACAGCTCATAAACAACAGCACACCTGCAAGAGAGCTGACTGGCAGCCCAGGCCCCACGGAGAGGTCCCAGGCACCCCCTACAGCCTGAAACCTGCAGAGCTGCATCTGCTGTCAGAGGGTCTGTCTGGGTTAAGGCTTCTGACACAGCTGATGCAGTGACTCCAACAGCTACTGGGGAATGTGCTCTGTGGCACATCAAAACCATATCTGAGGAAGCGTGCACTACTAGGATTGGAAACGAAGGAGCCTTCTTGTGCCCTTGTGCATAAACTGCTGTGTCTGTTCGCTGCCTCCGTTACCTACGCTCTCAGCCCCTCGTTACTGTCCTGGCTGCATGTTGCAGAGGGAGCCCAGCAAAGCCAACACTTGCTCTGAATGCCACAGGCCTCTCTTCTGCTATCACCTGCTACTAATAATCTTTCATTTAGAAAGGAACAATTCTGGAGTTTGTATGTTTAAGGGTTAGAGGAAAGGAGAGTGCTGGTGCAGTAACTCTGGCAACTGGATTGATCTCAGCAGATGTCTTAACACTTGCTAACAAGGGAAAGCGAGGCAGCTCGGGAGGCAGAGCTGGTGGCTGGCAGCTCTGAGCTCTGAGCCCTGTGCAGGCAGCCGGGTTTGCCCTACCACTTGCTTTGCTCAGCTACGTGCGTCTTTGCTACTACCCATTGCACCTCTAGCAGAGTTTTGCTTGTGTAGTGACACTGGCAAAAAAGAAAGGTCTGCTACAGCTGCCCAGAAGGAGTGGACGTTTCAGGTCTTTGGGCACCCAGCTGTCCTTCCTTCC